TTCTTTCTTTCTTTCTTTCTTTCTTTCTTTCTTTCTTTCTTTCTTTCCTTCTTTCTTCTTTTTTTCCTTCCTTCCTTCCTTCCTTTCTTTCTTTCTTTCTTTCTTCCACCTCTTGGTTAACTTGTGTTTTGCTTGTCTGGCAGGGTGGTCCTTGGCTATCTTTCAGAGCCAACTTCAGAGATTCTAGATCCTGTGAGTGATAAATTCTTCAAGGAAGTTTGGATTTCAACGGCGGCCCGGAATGCTACCATATATGACAAGGTGAAACTCATGTTTTTCCATTTTCCCATTTTAAGTCACTTATGGGGGGAGGGGGGAAGGAAAGATACCAAAAGGCAGAAAAAGTTTGGTTTTATGTTGGCTTTAGCCTTGCTCAATTCATTTTGTTAGAATAAACTTTTTTCTTTACACAAACAGCCTTCAAACTAAAACAGCCACATGCCTCTGTAAAAGATCCAGTTTTAGCTACCTAAAATTGATGACTCTGAAAGAATCATACCTTCTCATTGATCAAAGGAATCTTGGAGTTTCTGTACTCCAGTTTCCTACCATACACAAGAAACTCCTTCCCAGTGTCCTTGATCAGTGGGAATTCAGGCCCTATTTGAACACTCTTAGAGATGAGGAACTAACTATTTAATGCTACAACCTCTTCCGTTATATAATAATTACTATTGTTTTTATTAATACTATTGGAGAGGAATCAGACCTGTGATTTCATTGGCACAAGGAACTCTTACATGTGGAAGTTGCTTCAACCAGTACAGGTTGGCACTTTCTTTACCATTTATGGTCCTAGAAGGTTCCTTAGAGCACTAAGAGGTTCAGTGACTTGTTCAGGGTCATACAGCCAGCGTAGGTCAGAGGCAAAACTTGAACTCACAGCTTCTTGGCTTCAAAGCCAGCATTTTATCCACTACACCATAGTGTCTCATATTTTTTATCATATGTAAATATATATTGTATAATTTTTATTTATTTATTTGATGGTGATTATGGTGATTATGATGAGTCCTGCTGTCAGGAAGACCCAGGCTCAAATCCATCCTCAGACACTTATTAGCTATGTGACTCTGGGTAAGTCACTGAACCTCTGTTTGCCTCAGTTTCCTCAATTGTCAAATGGGGAAAATAATTCTGTGATTCTTTGTGAATCATAGAATTTTTTACATGGAAAAAGATATTTAACTCTAAATCTTATTAGCCCAAACCTAAGTTGATCATTGATATTCAACTTTTGTTTCAATGCTGTTGTTTACTTTTTACTTTCAAGCTAGATGTCTTCATCTTAATTACTGGCCTGAGCATTACACAATAGTAGCAATAATAGTAATTACTAACATTTACATAGAACTTTAAGGTTTAGAAGGAACTTAGGTATTTTATCTTATTTGATTTCTTGACAACTTTATGAGGTAGCCCATATATATGAGGAAACTGAGCCTTGCTCAAGGCCACACTGCCAGAAAATGCTTCAGGCAGGATTTGAGCTCAGGTATTTCTGATTCCAATTCCAATGTGTCACAGAAACATTGAGAGAGAGAGAGAGAGAGAGAGAGAGAGAGAGAGAGAGAGAGAGGGAGGGACAGAGAGACAGAGACAGAGACAGCTGATTGTTATGTATTTGCTAGCATTCCTCTGCCTGAAGGCCTCAGTTTCCTCCTTTGTAAAATGAGAGAGTTGCACCAGATAACCTAGCTCTGGCATCCTCTCATTCCATGAATCATGGATAGTACTTACCATCCCTAGCCTTCAAATTCACCCTGTGTTTTGTATTGAACAAGTAGACCCAGCCTTATGAGTCATATAGATCAAGCAGGGCTCTCCAGCTGCCACTTTAAAAGCCGTAACCCACTGTGGCATAGAAGATGAACAGCATCACCCATCTCATAATGTTCTTTGGAATGTTCTTTGTTTTGATGGATCTGTATACCCCGCAAAACTAATAGGCTCTGCATAAAAGCTGACTGTCCCAACTGAATATTTGCCATAAAATGTGTCTGCTGACATTTCCTTGGAAACGCCATGTGATGATTCATTTGTCTCGTTCTCCCAGGTATTCCGATGCCTTCCCAACGATGAGGTGCACAATCTCCTACAGCTCCGGGAGTTCATTACCAAGCCGATATTAGCGAAGGAGGAACCTGGTCGAGCAGAGGAAGAATTAAGAAAGATTCGTGGGTTCCTCGTACAATTCCCTTTTTATTTCTTGTCTGAAGAAAACTTGCTGCCTTCTGTGGGAACAAAAGAATCCATAGTGCCCATGGAGGTCTGGACTTAGGAGGATAGAGGATGTCTTCCCTGGTCCCCAATTTTGCACACAGGGCCAGGCTCTCCCCACCGAAGAGATCTCTGCCAACCTACCCGGTGCTTTTAAAGAATGCACCAGGTATTTAGATCTTCCAGACAGAAAGAGGCACAACTAGAGTTATGAAGACACTGAAAGTTAGAACCAGACAATGTCTTAGATAACGTGCATGTTCGACACAGAACACTGACTTGATTGGTGATGTGACATTTGATTGTGTGAATCCCACAAGAGGGAGTAAATAATCCTAAGTGGGAACACGGAAGTTGTGCCTACAAATGTGCAGGGTGGCCGGAAGGGCCTTGGACCCGCTTCCCCTTCTGTGACTGCTTGAGCTGTTCAGGTCCCATAGGTCATCAAGGTGCAGCTTTAGATATGATCTGCACCCGAAGACAAGATTGCTTGATGCTGCTGACAGCCCACAAGTGGTCCTTGGCCATCCATTCCCAAAGTAACATTGCTCACCCAGCAAGAGGATTAGCAATCATCCCACTTGGTTAAGTCTTGTTGGCCCTTTCTCCTTTCCAAGGAATGAAAGGGCAGAGCTGACTTTATCTCTTGTTGCAATCCCACATTAGGTGCTGCCTTTTCCCCAACCCTCAAGCCTTGTTGTTTTGTCTGACCTCACTCCAGTAAGAGAGGAATAGAAGCTGTAAATAGAAAAATTTAGGTTTCATATCAGGAAAAATGTCCTAACAATGAGAGCTGTCTAGTTGTGGAATAAATGGGCCATCTAGAGAAATGGTGGGTCCTCCTCCTTGGATGTCTCCAAGCCGAGGCTGGAGGAACACTTGTTGAATATGTTAGAGTAGGGATCCCTTTGGTGTATGGGCTGGCTGGCTGGCCCAAGAGGACCCTATCCAACTCCAAAATTCTGAGAATAGATTTCTACAGGCTTGTTGTCAACCCAGGAATTATTAAGGTGGGCCACTGTGACAGAGGCAGGCTGACCAATCAAATTCGAAAGCATAAATCTGTCTCCATTCATTCTTAAAACTCGACTTTGAACCTCAGTGGAGGTTCTATGCACAGATCGAGGAGCAGAAGAAGCCTCTTAAAAATCCTGTAAAACTTCTTTGTCTGTCACCATAGCTGGCCTTTGAAATTTTACAGTTTGCCATCAAAATAGCAAAAGCAATTTTTTTTTTCAAGAAAATCAGTCCTTGCACAATCTGTGCTTTGTTAACAAGTCAGACCCACAGTTGTGGCTCACACCTTCCATCCTGTCTTCTTCTTGAACATTCAGAGAAGAACCACATGCCGTGTACATCCCTTTGGAGTAATGAACAAACACGAACATTCCATAAGGGCTAGCCGAAGGTTCTATCACTTACCCTTCCGACTGTCCTTCATTTATTTACTTCACTATTTACTAGGCTGAAAGCCTTTTGTGAGGCCATCATGTACTTCAGCTCTGGGTGCGCTGATTTCCCAAAGGGCATTCCATTGCCCCCAGAACAGTAGTCAACATGGATTCACAAATTCCCCAATTTAGTCATTGTTAACGTTGGTTGTATCGTATGTGGTGCTATAAAGGGGTCTCAGAAAAGAGTAAAACATTGCCCTTGACTGAATGAGTGTAAGACCTAGAAAGTGTACTCAAAGAAATAACTAACAACACATTGAGGGTGGCATTATAAGATCTAGATTGGAAAGAATCCTTAGACATCAGTAAGACCAACCCCCTCATTTTACAGATGAGGAAACTGATGCTCAAAGAGGCTGCCCACAGAAGAGTAATAAGTAGAAGAGCCAGAATTAAAAACCCAGGCCTCTGACTCCAAATTCACCATTTGGTTTGGTTCTGGACAGCAGGGAGGAGGGAGAGGGCTTGGGAAAGCCAAGTTCTAAATGGCGGCATAGAAAATATGCAGTACAGAGGTTAAGATCACAGAATCGTAAGATCGATCACAGATTTAGAGCTGGAAAGGACCCTCTAGGTGATAAAATCCAACTCCCTAATTTTCAGATGAAGAAACTGAGTCACAGAGAGGTTACAAGGTTTGCTCAGGATAACACAGCCAGTGAGAGGTCATGAATTGGCATGATCAGAGGAAAGATTCGTGGATGAACTGGGACTATATAACTATAAGAATAAAGTACAGCTATAAATACATAATAATCCACATGACAAAGTTCCTTGCATATTTGGCAATGGGTGGCACCTTAAAAATTATCCATTCCTCTTCTCTCATTTCACCAATGGGGAAACTGAGACCCAGGGAGGTTAAGCAAACCGCCTAGCATCCATCATGCAGATAAGAAGTAATAGAACAAGATTTGAACCCAGGTCATATGGCTCCAAAGCTAGGGCTCATTTTCCAGCATTGCGCTGGCATCCTATTGACTGAAGTAATAGGAGAGCCAGGATTTGAACCCGGGCTGTCTGATACCAAATCCAGTACTCTTTCCATGATAATACACTACATGCAGATATTATGATGCTCATTTTACAAGATGAGGCAATGGAAACCCAGCGGTGTTGAGCTGACTCTCCCAGAATGACCGAGATTTGGACTCAAACCCAACTCTTCTGACTCCTAGTCCTCATGCCAAGATACCGATAAAAAAGAGAGCTAGCAAAAGGAGGGAAGTTGTTTGAGCTTTAGAGCAGCTTTCTTCCTGCTGGCTTCCATTTAGAGTTTCTTTCCCTTACCTTGTTTACAATGCTAAAAAAATGAAGAAAGATTGTCGCCACTTATCCCAGAAGGTGAAAGGTTTGTGTGTGTGTGTGTGTGTGTGTGTGTGTGTGTGTGTGTGTGTGTGTAGCTTCGAATTGCATCCCAGCAATGGTGGATTTTGTACATTATCCTGAAGGATTGCACTTGAACTATACAGCCCTCAGCACCTGCTCCACTAATCATGTGCGAAGGCTGGGTGAGGAAATCAGCTAAATCATTCTGTGACAATACTGTCCTTCCCAAACAGAAACAATTAAGTTTCCCTAAAGCCCAGTCTTTATAAACTATACACCCAGGAAACATCTGGTTTAATCTTCAGCATGCAAGTGATTCAGAGTGCTGAAAAGCTACTATTAACCTTTTTGACATTTCAAATGGACTATAAACTTAATAGATGTGTACAGGCAAGATACCTGCAACCCTAATGTTCTGTGTAAAAATACATCTATTGTCAGGGAGGAAGGGGCCTGTTGTAAAAGAAATAGATGAGTTGAATGTAAGGGAATGTGGTTATGGCCAGGACACGGCCCTGAGCAAACCAATTCCAACTGGTGAACCTCAGTGGATTCGATGTCCTTTAATGCACTGGGGTCAAGCAGAAGATTAGTAGTTGCCCCATTCAATACTGCAGATTGCAATGCAGCAAGGCCTTGCATAGGGTCATCTTAAGACCTAACATCACAGCACTACCTTAGAGGCTACCATATTTTGTTTGCACGTTCTAGAACCACTATAAGGGATATGTTTTTTTAAAAAAAAAAGCACCATAGCCTGAGGGATTAGGCCCCATGTATGATATCCTTTTCTTAAATCAAGTTTCAATCTCTAGACAGTTCATCTCTTTCAGACTTTCTAAATTGTTTTAATGTTTCATTAATTACCAGCTTTCCACAAATTCATAGGAGTATTCCTGCAACTACAGACATGTCAATAGGATAGACATTATAAACAATAGTTAGATAATTTATACTCCTGAGATCCAAGATTCCACGTAGAGACAATAGTTTTTATTTCCAAGCTCTGTAATGCCATCAATTTTGGGCACACCCTCCTTTGATGCAGATTGCAATCCCTTCCACACCTTGGTAAATGATTTCATGAATTTCTGTCCTCCCCCCCCCCAAAAAAATTTAATGTTTCATCTGGTGATGAAATTTGTGGCACTGAGCTTCTCTGAATTGCAGTAGTCTTTGGTTGACTGACAGAGTTGGTGACCAGGCTCATATTCAGACTTTTCAGCTTGAGTGGAATCTTCATGAGTTTGGGCTTCATTAGCAGAGCTTGGAGTCTGGGGTCCCATCCACACCTGGATGACTTAATGGAAGGAAGAATTTATACCACCTAATTATAAGCCCAGGGATATAGAGCTGGAAAGGACCTTGGAGACCATCTTGTCCAGCCATTCTACAGATATATAAATTAGTCATTTTCATACACACACATTTCTTTCCCCAGGCAGCTACTCACATTTATATAGGCCAGGAAGAATTCCAGCATGCCAACCAAAAAAGGCACCTCGGATGGAATTTCTCTGACTGAACACGTAATCTTAAGGGCTATATTATTGATATATTTTTATGTTGGCTCTTTTGTATGTATTTGAATCATAGATACTCAATGATTTTCAACTGTTAAAACAAAAAAGATGGATGAAATCCCAATGAATTGTGTAATGAATAAAATAACCTTTTTTTTTAAAAAAAGCCTTATATCATGGCATTTTGGTAAATGGGCACCACTTTCCCTGGCCACCATTCTCTTGCTTCATTAAGAAGATGTTAAAGGGCATTTTAGATGGGCCAAATAAGACACAGCAACATAGATTAAGGATTTTTTCTTTTAACTTTTACAAAGTATCTCCTGAAGTCCATTCCCAAGAAGCTATTTGCAGAGTATAAGTAGGTATGATCTAGTCCTGTGCCTGAAAAATGAAGATCAGAGATCTAGAATTCACCCAAGAAGATAATTCAGCAGCCTCTTTCAAAAGGGAGTATAAATTGGTTTCTGCTTTTCTGTGCCATAACTTGTTTCTAATGATGGCTACATCAATTAAGGTTAGAAAGTTTAACCATATGAATAATATATTTTTAGGTTAATTCTTTGAAGACTCTTTAAACTTTTCCATTATACTATTTGAAATTTATTTTTAGCTTAAAATGAAAGGCCTATTTGTTGGAGAAATGAAAATACTAGGCTGGGATGATCATTTTGAACCCTGCTGACCAAATGCCTTTACTGTACCAGTTCAGGGTTTGTATGTTTGTGTGTGTGTGTGTGTGTGTGTGTGAGAGAGAGAGAGAGAGAGGCAGACAGAGAGAGAGAGAGGTAGCCCCCTTCTCAGAATAATGTTGTGCTTTAAAATTTGTAATTAAAGAAAATGCTAAATTTCAATTAGAGGCTAGTGAAAATAAAGATATAATTGTTTTTCCATTTAAGCTCATGGAACCCCAGAAATCTATGCACAGGGATCCACGGACTCTAAATTATGAATTCTTAATTTAATTAGATCAAAGAAAAAGGTAGAGGGAAAGTTTTCCTTGATCAAAACCCAGGCAAAATTCTTTTTTTTTTTTTTCAGTATCTAAGCAGCTCTGATGACTCACCCTCAACTAGTTATGTGTTCTGAAGTTCCATTGTTTGGCTCTGGACCTGTGAGGGCAGTCCCCTGAGAGCTGCATAGAGAAAAGCCCCTTTTCTCTGCACTCTGCCTAGCCCCAGATTCTCTGCTCGAGAGGCTTAGCTATGACCACTGGCACCAACACACTCCTGTAGTATTTTTAAAAACCAATTTTCATTGATGTCTTTTGCTGTAACATCACTCCTTGAGAGCCAGACCTTATAACAGAGGGGAAAAATTTTTTTTTAAAAGTTAAATTAGCCTGGATATCCTTAAAAAGTGTAACATTATGTTCTGTATCTATGGCCTCCCACTTGTATGAAGAAGTGGGTTGTTGTACCTTCTCCTATTTCTTCTTCGGGGTCAGCCTGTTCCTTTTTGATTGTTGGCATTGAGGCAAAGCTCTGCCTACTGCCATACCGTTGGAAAACACAACCCATCATGTACTCAGCTTTTTCCACCTCATCCCCAAGCTTCACCTCTAGTTAGGGCAAAGTGATCCAGGAAATGTTGGAGCAAAAACATTCCTGGGGCCCGATACTACCCTCCTTCCAATCTGGCAGAGAGACCTTCTAATAGCTGGCATGGTCCCATCACAAGAATCCAGGAACAAAATGGCGTTCACAGTTGTTTGTCTATTTTATGTTCAGCAGCCCAGCCAAGGCCAAACAAGAATTTTAAAAATAATTTATTTTTATTTTTTATCACTTGTTTGATATATTGACTAGCCTCATGGTTCACACACACACACTCACACACACACACACACTTTTTCGTTTTAAATTTTTTTGTGATTTGAGATGGCTCTCTGGGAAGGAGGAGGAAGAGAGAAACAACAGGAAATTTAAGTATTATAAAAATAAAATCAATAAAAAGATATTTTTAAAAATTAGCACTGCTTTCAGCCCTAGATCAGGCCTAAATCTAAAATCTGTTTTCTCTGGATGCATTCACACACACACACAAACACACACACACACACACACACGTGTCTATGCATATACACATATATGTGTCTGTATAGGTATATATACACATATATGCATATGTATATATGTGTACATATATATACACATAGGTGTAGTGATATGAATGTTTGTTCCTAAGATGTTATTTAAACATAGATATGTGGGTGTGTATGCATAACTTTACTTGGGATAGGAATCACGAAGTCAAAGAAACAGGCATCCCTGAATTTTCCTTCTGTGAAGGGTCTGGAAATGATACAGGTCTTTCTTCTCTGCTATGTAATCAATGCTCTAAGTCTTTTTGAAGATCTTGTTTTTGTTTTTTAAGTGTAAATGTTCATCAATGAATGATACTATTAAAATGACGGATTATGAAGTGGCTCTTTATTTAGAAATAGAAATAGCTCATCATCCTAGCCTGGAATGTGCAGTCCCAGCCTGCAGTGGGTCTGATGTGAGCACCCAGATGCTTTCCTTTGGGGACACTAACTCCTTCTGTCCCTGTGTGGTGAGTTGAAGTGACAGCTTGAATGCCCTGGCCTCTCTTTCCTCCCACTGTGTCTCTCCCCACATCTCTTCTCCTATCTGCAAGATATAAAGATAAAGTCATGTGATCTTTTTTGTGGAGTTAACACCAGAATTGTCTCTTCAACTCAATTCAGTAATTTGGCAAACATTTATGAAGTTTTGGGGGGGGAGGCAGGCACCAAGTTGGGTGCTGCAAATACAAAGACAACAAAAAGCTACTCCCTGATCTCACACATTTTATAGACAAATGCATCAAGTTAATAGATTGATAAATGGAAGATAATTTGAGAAACACCCCAGAAGGCTACAGACTTTCCTCGGTTGTCCCTGCTGAAACATTCTCATAGCTGGTCTTCTGAAATTGCTTCCTGGGCCTATAATTCACGTTTGTTGAATATCTTCAATTGTGACGTCGTCATTCTTTTGATGGTAGACCTGGTTCTTTGAAATAGGCAAAGGTGAGATGCAGGGCCAATCTGAGAACAAGGTAGGTAATTTAGCTGGAGAAGTGCTCTATGGGGGATCTAGCAGAGGTGTGACGTTAAGGAAATAAGACTGGATTTCATGAGGTCGAAGACCATATCATCCTCTGATTCACTTATAGGCATGTTGTCTCTCCCCACCCCCCAAAATGTAAACTCCTCTAGGGAAGGATGTTTCACTCCAGTCTATGTATCTCTCTATGCTAAGTACATAGTAAGTGCTTAATAAATGTTGGTCGGTTGGTTGATTTAATCCTCACTGAAACTTAGATTTCTACTGGTCACCATTATATCTTGCCACCCTCTCCAATGCTAACTGATCCTTTTGTCAAGGCTTCTTGATTTATTGATGAGCCCTGAACGTGAATGCAAAGGTGCCACCCATAAGTTAGGGACAAATGCTACCCCACCAATATAAGTGTGCCTGCCTCCCAGGAAGACTAATTCAAAAAGCAGAGAATTCATTTGGGTATGTAATATTGATTATGCTTTTTTAAAAATAAATCTGTTTTGTTATTTTGGTCACAACTCATATTCTGGTATGTGATCCTCCAGTCTCCAATTCTATCACTTTCCTGCCTCTATCTTCTCTAGAGAAGAGAAAGCCCCATCAAAGAGGACATGGCATATTTGAAGGGCTGTTGTGTGGAAGAGTCACTAGATATGTTCTACTTGGCCTCAGAGTGCAGAACCAGGAGTGATGGATGGGAGTTGTATGAAGGCTTATCAAGGTTCAGTGTGTCAAGAGGAACTTCCTAAGAATCTGAGTTATCTAAAAGGGGAATGGGCTACTTTGGGAGGTCATAGACCCTCCCTCATTGGAGACCTTCCCAGAGAGGCCGGATGACCACTGTTTGAAAATGGAGGAGGGCATTCTGGGTCAGATATGAGATGGACTCTCAGGTGGCCACTGAGGTCCCTTCCAACTCTTTGATTCTGTATTCTCCACCAGTGATGCTGTATCTCTTATAGCTAATGAAATATTGCTTACATCCCAATATCAACCTAATTCTGTCTCTCTGAGTCTTCTCTTTGTAATAATGAAACTGGGATCAATGATCACCAAACAACCTCACATTATGTCACCTTCATTATCTTCATCCCTATCGTCACCTAGTTTTATCTTCTACAAGTCACCTTTTCTCAGTGACCATGATTTAAGGCCTAAGAACTCTGTACTTTCAATAAAATTCATTTTTTCCTAGGGAAATATAGGAGCTAACATTTATTCTTTCTGTTTTCCATGTAATCAGGTTATTTATATGAACCCCTCTCCCCATTTCTCAAAGGATAATAAATTTAAAGCTAGAAGAGAAATTCGAAGCACTCTAGTTCAGGTTTCATATTTTATAGATGGGGAAACTGAGGCCCAGAGAGTTTATGATTTACTCAAGATGGCACCAGTAGTAATCAAGAACATTTTAGCTCATCGAGCCCTACAAAAACTGGCCTTGAAGCCAGTTCTCTGGATCTATATTGTTTTATTATAAAGGTTAGCTGTCAAAAGTCATTTATGTAAAAGAAAACTTCATAGATTCCCAACAGTTGAAAAACAGCCTCTCATCTTCTGTAGCCTGGATCTTGATTAAGCCATGGTTATTTTTCTTTCATTTATGCCAAATTCAACTAAATGCTTTCTGTTCCTATTGAATAATAGGATTTGATTTATAGTGTTCCTTCTCTCAAGATTTCAATAAAGATGTATTTTTAGAAACAATGTGTCCATGAGGGATATTAAAAAGAAGCCAAAAGAAGAAAGCATAAAAGGATATATTTTAAGGCCACAGTGCAGATAGTGATATGGACAACTGACTCCATTATTTGTGGTAGTGGAATACAGAGGTATATGGGAGAAAAATGCTTTATGGCAAAGGATACTCCAGTAAGGCTGTGGGTATTCTCTCCTGTGATGCAGATCCCTGGCCATTCCTACTTGCCCATCTTATGTATATCTTATCCATGCCTTCCCATAAGTTTGCCACAAAGGAATCCAATAAGCTGGAGGTCTTCCCTGATTTTTCTTGACATTACTAGGATACCAATGGAATACATTTAAAGTTTACCAAATGTTTTCTTCACCACAATACCACGAGGGAGGTAAAGGAGATATTATGATCTCCATTTTACGGATTAGAAAACTGAAGCTCCGAGGTAAAGTTGACATACCCATGATTATATAACTAGTACGCATCTGAGGTAGGATTTGAACTCGTATCTCCATCCACTATTCCATGCTGCCTTTTCAAATATAAAGGAGTCCAATTATACGCCACATGAAAAAGACTAGATGAGAAAAATGATTTTTGTTTCTGCTGCCGGGCTTTGAAAGACCGAATTCATTGGTGCACGTAACATAAAAGTTAAGGGAGCTTGGAGCATTCCCCATCAGTAGGCCGAGGGATCGTTTTTTTTCATTACAGAAATCAAAAGTGATGGATGTAAAATCATCCCCACTGTTTTGATTTACTGAAGAGAAAATGCCATTCAGCACAACTGCAGCTATGAAAGCCAGGAATAGGCTTGGAAAGGCACTTTGAAAATCCAGGGGGAAAGAAGACCTGCTCTGATGTTGGATACCTTCCATCACACCAGCCAGAAAGCTAAATCAGGGCCTGAGAAATCCCACCTAAGTTTGCATAATTAAACTTCCTACAACTGGTAGCAGAGAAGTGAAACCCTGGAAAGATAATATTATCCTGTGTTCACTGGTTTCTTTTATTTTGTGATTCCCCA